TAACAAAAACATATAATCAAACATCAAATTTATCTTCTACAGCTATTTTAACATGTCATATACGTGATTTAGGTGATCATCATGTAACATGGTTTAAATATAATTCCTTAACATCTTTAGCATATCCATTAGTTGTTGGAAAAGAATTATTTACAACTGATAAACGTTATTCCGTATCATCATATTCAACATCAACAAGAGATTCTTATTGGTCATTAGAAATTTATGAATTAAATCAATCTGATGAAGGAATATATCTTTGTCAAATAGCTAATCGACGTGAAACTATAAGTATTTCAATATATTTACATATACAAATACCTATGATTCTATCTCCTTCATTACTTTATGTTGAACCAGGAACAAATGTTAAATTAAATTGTAGTATTTTAATTGATAATGATGATGATGATAATAATAAATCATTATCATTAATAAATTGGTTGTTTGCATCAAATATATTTAATAAAACAAAACCTAATGATATACATGTACGAAGAAAATTGATAAATAATAGTTTAAATTCATATTTAATTATTCATCATGCACAAATATATCATTCAGGTATATGGGCATGTGTTTATAAACGTCAACGACGCACCGCTAGATTAATTGTTGAAAAAGGTTGAATTCTTCTTTTTTTTTTTGTTTTAATTTGATTAATAATTTTTTTTTTTTTATTCTTCAGATGTTTTACAACGTCAACGTATCAGTGCTTTATTATCAAATAATTCCAAACGACATTATTCTCTAATCAATCATCTTTTTATTTCATTTATTGTTTATATTATAGACTATTTTTTGTATGAACAGTAATAGTCAGATGAAATATATATATATATATATATATGTGTAACTATGAATATCCAACTGTGTTAATCGATTACCACTATAGGTGTTTATTGTCGTACGGAAATCAGCAGGTAAATTTTTTTCTAAGAGAAGAGAAAAGAAAGAAGAAGAAGAAGCTGATGAAATCCTCTAGAGAACTAAAAAGATATTGACAGATGAATAGATGACATACGAATGTTCATATGAGTAAAGATAAAAGAGACACATTATTTGCATTTTTTGCTAGCAATCCATTAAGCCAATCCTTGGCGAATCAGTCAAGCAAGAATAAATGACTAGCGATTGGATTAATTGGGAAAAAAAAGAGTCCGTCACATGTCCTACTTGAAAATACAAGATGTCAAATAATATAGAGTTCATGTTATTAAAGCTAAATTTCTTTTATTCATTGATGTCAAAATGAAAAGTAAAAAAAAAAGAAAAGAAAAGACATATTTATTGTCTAGTTAAAACTTATTGAATAGAAAGACTAATTAAAAAGAAAAAAGTATAAAATTCATTATTTCAATCTCACTTATATTCGACAACTAGTAGACTATTCTTGATTATATGTGTAAGCTTAGATTAAAAAGGTCACTTCAAAGTACTATTCACAATATAATCAAGTAAGAAAAAAAAAACCACTCATTTTTTTTTTCTGTCAGATGATAACTTCGTTTTTTTATCTGTAATAAGCAAAATTTGCATTTCTTTCTTTTTTTCTCTTATTATCGATTGCGCGATCAGTAAATGAATGAAAGAAGATTCATGTATATAGATAATAATTGTAATGATGATGATGATGATGATGATGACTACGGATACTTGAGCATGTCTTGTTCATCATTATGTCATATTGCGAACAAATGAGACAGCGAAAAAAAGAAGAAGAATGATGAACATGAGATTGAACAAGTTGTGAAATTGGATATTGCTGTTTGTATGCATACAAGTGTTTGCAAAAATTTGCCTAACTCATTATCACTTTATCAAATATAACAACAACAGCTATGAATATGTCTTGAATTGATGATTTTTGCTTTATATATTTTTGAATATTTTCTTGTAAATTGATTTACATACATATGAAGAACGAACAAAAAATTATACCATTGTGAAATAAATTTCAACATGTATTTTTGAATATGATATTTTATATATGGCTAGTTAAATTATTTTTATAAATAAAATATATAGTGCAATATAACAAAAACAAAAAAAATTAATGAAATATTATACAGGAAAACTTCTTTTAGTGAACACATTCCATTTTGAATAAGCTCTCGATTCCATAAAGCGATTTTTACTGGAAATGTACTGCTTTACTTTGAATTTGAACATTGTTTTTACAGTCTCAATTGCTATTTTAATCTACATGAATATTTCTTCATCATTTCTGGCTAATGCACTAGAACTACTATTGAATGTTTGCTATAAACTGTACATATCAAGAAAAGCAATAATATTATCATATATTAGATAAAAAAAAGTTCACTTAACTATTGAATACAATGATAGTTGTGATTCATCATAATGTGAATTAGCTGAAAAATCGAATATTTCACATGGTTCTATGTTCGATATTGTAAAACGAAAGTAAACTGAAGTCAAAGTAGTAAACAAAAATTCAAAAGTTTTGATGATTACATATTCGAATGAATTGTACAGCAATGTTCATCAAATTTACATTTATTGAGACTAGAGTCCAAAATTTTCGGACTCGAATCCGATGAATTCTAATCGAGACCAAAATAATAATACAAAACTTTGTGAAATAAAAGCAAAGTTTTTTTTTATTCTCTTAAAAATTTTTGAATTCATAAATATTCAAATGAAGAAAGGCATATAAACACAGAACGTGGTCACTGATTACTTCAAAACTAATAAAGAAACTTATATTATGAAATTTTGTTTTTATTTCATAGTAAAATATACAACATCTCTCAATATTGAACATGTTCTGACAGTATTCATTTAAGAGAAGCTTGTATTGTACGATACTCATTCATCACCAATTTGGTTTCACAGAAAGTTAAATATTTGCTTAATAAAAGCGGTGGATATGTTATAGATGAGTAGAAAAATTTTCTCACTGCATTACTTAGAAATCCATTAATCAATTATTCTACTCTTGTAATAATGATGTCATTCGATACAAGATTTAGTATCGTGAATGTCTGTATTATATGATAATAGTCGATATGCGCTAAATAGATATAAGCTCATGTCTAGTGGTAAACTTCATAAATCAAATTCAAATTGTGATTTAAATAGCCGATAAAGTTCTCTATCAGATGCGGGTGTATGCATGATTCTTCATTTCCTTCACACTCTAAATATTCAAAAAGAATTATGATATGGTTAATTACCTCTAAAAATAGGCTTATATGACCAAATATTCACACATGAAAATTAGATTATAATTATTCTTCCATATGTGCAATCCAAAGGTAAATGGCAGTTGGATGACGATTTCATCTATCAACAAGACAATGGCATGTAGCAAACACAGACGAAACCATAAGTATGATATGAAGAAAATTTCATATATTTTATAAGCAATCACAGACGACCATCAAACAGTCCTGATCTCAATATTTTAAATTATTATATCGGCAAAATCAGGCAGAATAGGACATTTGCACCTTTCATTTGAGACTGATTCTCTATAAGAGTGAATTTTTTGAATAAATTCTTTTGGCATAGGCATATGTGAAAATGTTTGATCTTTCACATGGTTATTAATTAATTAAAAAGTAATTAGCGAATATCTCGTTAACTATATGAGAAAAAAATCTGAAAATTTCAGGGTAGGGTCTAGGGTACAAGCTGCACCTATGGTAAAATTTTCAACAAGATTGGACTCCGAAAAGTTTCTTCCGAAAAACCGGTTTTTCAGAGACCTTGAAAAGTGAAGAAGCGAAAACTTTTCTCTTATCATCATCTAGGGATTCTGAGTAATGATTTGTAACGTTTGAAGTTGATTTTGAACTTTTCAGTTGGTTACAAGAGTATCATGTCGATTGTGTAGTCGTACTGTGTCACGTCGCTAACGACAAATAAATCGGTTTTTTTGAAAAATCTAGACATACTCAGAAAAATTTTGGATATAGACTTTATAGCCTTAGAAGTCGTCTACGAAATGTCCTATTTAGTTTTCTAAAATTGTGCATGAATTGAGAGTTATTAAAAACTAAAATACACGAAGTGGAAATCGATGTTCTTTTTTGTGTCACGTCGGTAACGGTAGTTTTTTACCAGTAACTCCTGTAAACCAAGCTCCATAGCGCTAATTTTTTTAGGATATCTAGAGTAACTTAATGTCCGTACAACGTATAAAAAATCAGATCTAAGAGAGCTCATTATCTCGAGATACACAAATTTTTATTTTCCGAAGTCACGTCGCTAACAAATGATTTTGCCCATATATAGAATGCTATCACCAATAATATAAAATCAGATAAAGCTAAAAACTATAGTTCGCTGATTGATGAAATAAGAGAAAGGAGTTTCTTGTGTACCAAAAAACAAATGATCTTGCTCGTAGCATCGAAATCTATGATATTGATTGAGTACGATGTGTCGTAGCTTTCGTGCATTGACTCCTAGGTTCTAACAACCAAGAGTGAGGAAGGAAAGTCAATTATCATCGAGTATATGTTTCTAGAAATTTAATGCAACGAACGAGAATCTTATTATAGGCGTTAATGAGAAGGCCGATGGTATTATTGATCTAACAAAATGAGAATAGTTTCGAAGTGAAGCACGTGTTGCACCTATAAAAATTGTTATTATTTTGATTTCTACATGTATTTGACATTTTCTTAAATAAAATTATTTTAACCTTTCTGATAATAGACTATAAATTTATAATAGTCAAAATTTGTGAATTTCACACTTTGGCTCCTCATCCGGCCCTACTGACAAGTTTTTGTATAATTTTTCGAGCTAGCTACTCTAAGAATGATTTTCCATGTCCAGAACATTCAAAACTGTTTCAAAATAGAAACCCTTCCATTTCACACACTATCGATCATGCTTTTATCAATCGTATATTCTACATAGTTCAAACTCTTCAAATATGTAGATGATTGACAACTAGCCATGCCAACCAGAGAATGTCAATTGATGCGTATCCTGTAGGCTCATCAATCGTGCCATATCAATGTTTATGAGTTTGATGAAAAGATTATCTAGCTTAGTTGGGTTGATACTTATTCAAAGACGAATACATTTATCACTAAGTCGAATTGATAACATATTATTTTATTCGTTCATAGGAATAATTCAAGAAAAAATAATACCAAAAAAAAAACCTTACTCCTTCTCGCTGTCGATCTGTTTATATTGTAAATGATTTTTGCATAAATAATACATCTATAATATTTGAGTTTTTTTCCTTGTCAAAAATGTAATGAACAGATCGTTCTGGAGGTCTGAGATTGCAACCCTTGTATAAGTTGTACCTCACGAGGGTAATTCGAACAACTAGGCCTTTATTACTGAGATATTGAATTTTAATCTGAAACTTTGTTCACATAAAGACAACGATTAGACTATCTTCAGTCGTTTCATTAAGTCTCTTCAAGATATGAATTTTTTAAAATATAGGCGCTTTGCCATGATTATTATAAAAAACATAGAGATTTTGAAAGATCCATAAGTCAAAGAGACTTGATCAAAAGATTTTAGGTCAAAATTCAAAAGTATGATTTCAAACCAATTTATCACTCGGAGAGCTTTTCTCGTTAGTGCTGATAGACCGATCATTTGTTCTACAAAACAGAATGAATGATTGATCCTTCGATGTCGATATAGTTCTTTATCGAATATTTTTAAAAAAAAAATATATTTTTTTTTTCATATTTTCTAAAAAATTAATTCTTTTCTCTTTTAGTTTAATACAATAAAAAAAAAAACAAACAAGTCATGAACGATAATTCATCAAAAGAGATTTAAGCTTTTTTTTTTTTGATCTTCAAATTTCTTTAAACTTGAAGTTGCTTATATACATAATCAGGAAGAACAACAACAATAAAGACAAAAATAACTTAATCAACCATCATTCGAGGTGCAATATTCATGGCCATAAGTTCTTGAAATAGAAGTTTACATGCATATGGTAAACGCACTTGTGATATCTATTTAATACAAAAAAAAAAAACAAATGAAATTCAATTTGTATTTTTGTTAATCGACATACTTGTGTTGTATTTGTACATCCTTTACAACTATATGTTTTTTCAGCTAAATTTGCAACAGCCAAAAGACCACAAATATTACAAACATGTACTCGATATGGATCGGATACTTCAAAAAGACGTTCTTTAAGAAATTGTGCTGCACCATGTGATATTTGACAATCACGTTCCATCTCACCAAAACGTAGACCACCATCACGTGATCGACCTTCCATTGGTTGTCGATTAAGAATTTGTACAGGACCACGAGCACGTGAATGTATTTTATCATCAACCATATGTTTAAGACGTTGATAACTAAAATAAAAATCAATAAAATGAAATTAATTTTCTCAATGAAAAAAACAAAAAAAAAAATCTTTACTAAGTTGGTCCCAAAAATATTTGACAATTAAGTTTTCTTCCACTCATACCATTATACATAACTTCATTACCACGTAAATGATAACCATATTCATGTAACATTTCTGACATATGTTTAACATTAACATTATCATTAAATGGTGTTGCATCACCTATTTCACCTTTATTTGCTGCTACTTTACTTTGTAAACATTCAATTAAATGTCCAATTGTCATACGTGATGGTATAGCATGAGGATTTATAATTAAATCTGGTGTTATACCTTCAGCTGTAAATGGCATATCCTAAAAATATTAAAAAAATGTAACATTACAAAGTACCTAATATAAGTAGATATTTAAAACTTATATGGGGCTATGTAAAGTTAATTTTTAATTTTTGAGAACTCAGAAACGAAAATTAAGTAAAGATAACCTATTTCGTTTTCTTATTCTCAATAGAAAATAAGAATTTTGTTTCCAAGAAAAGGTGACTAAATCGATTAGAGACAAAATCGTTTAGTGGTTTACAAGGAATTATATTATACGAGAACAGCCATGATAAATTAAGTAAAATTATAA